CATAATATTTCCAAAATCTATCAAAGATTTACAAATTTATGTACAAATTATGACAATTGACAATTATGACCTTAGCCTTTGAGCCCGAGCCCGAGACTTGATATTTTCTTGTTTGACCTTCAAATGCAACACATCTGTGCAACTCAGAATTGTTGACCAGACAAAAGTATCAATTATGCATGAAATGAAAAAAATGGGGTGACTTTGAGCAACACATCTTGTTTTAGCGTGATATACATCAGATCAATGTAAAAAAAAAGTGTTATGCATAATTGTAAAAAAATCATCCATGAATGACAATGTCGTTGGAAAGACAACGCCATCTATTAATCATATTATGAAATCAATATGGAAGTACGACTGTGACTTGATTTTTGAATGTGACACATTGATATAATGTCAAAACACATTTTTATTAAATTATTTCAAAAATCCATCCAGGAATGACATAATTATTGACTTGACATGACCATCAGTGCACAATTTATGTATGCAAAATATGCAAAGGTATGGACCACACTCAAAGTAAGGAATATGGAAGAAGGGATGGCACTATACAAATAATAATTCCTCTCAATTTTTTGTAGGAGAGGGGCATAAAATGCTGCTTTTATTTTAAGTATTGAAATTGACTGTTTTCTTTTGTGCAGAAATTGTGTTTTAAGTTTAATTGATATGTCCATTAAAGCTTAAATACCTTTTGCTATTCACTATTGCAATTTTTATGACTGTGATTTTATTCAGTATGATATTTGCACAACATTCATTAATAAATGCTCCTTTCATCAATGACAATAACCATTTCTCTTTTCTTTTATGTAAGATAATATAGTAGTCAAAGTTAAAATGACATTGATGACTAAAGTTTATATCAAAATGTAAAGAGATCGGATATCCATTTTACAAATTTTGCTGACAGAACATTATAAAAAAAATATTTTCAAAAAAGTATTTATCCATACAATATTTTTGTTTTCAAAACATATAAAATGCCATCACATAATTATTGGACATATATTATAGAACAAAAAAGCAAGTTTATTATATTTAATAGTTTAGGTGTTATTTTCGCCATCGAGTTTTAAAACTCTAAAGATATATGATAAGGTAAATTAACTTTTAATGACTTGTCAAGCTATAATCAACTGATAAAAGACAGACAACTTTACAATAATTTCATTCTACGATATATCTTAAGGCAACAAAATCTCAAAAATGTGTTTCGGTACCATTTTTTGTGATAATTTTAAATTGCGATGTAATGATGTTTCATTCTTCTTTAATGTAATACAATCTTTATATTTCTTATCACATTACACAAAATTCAATTACATGATAAATACACTAAAATTTTAAAGTAAAGGCAAGTTTAGTAGAAGCTTAATAATTTTGAACTGTTTTCTTCTTTTTTTCCTCTTTCTTTCTCGGTTATTTTACTCCACCCACTTTTGAAGCTGTACTCATCTGTGATAAATGATCAGGTAGTGAAGTTTTATGTTTAACTTATCAAGAAATGTTCAAATGACAAATAACATACAATATCCTATACATTTAACTGAAATTATAATGTAAAGGCATGTTTTGGGAACATTGTAATTTTAAATATTTTTTTACGGTAATTTTACCCCACCCACTTTTGAAGCTCTACTCTTACATTATAAATGCTTAGATAATGATTTTTTTATGTTTAACTTGTCTAGCTATGTTAAATTGATAAAATACACACAATTCCAATGCAATTCCATTTATATTGTTTTAATACGGAAAAACGAAAGTCATCATATTGTCAAAAAATGCTATTTTATACCACTTTTTAGGTAAATTGATAGTGATAATGTTAAAGTGTGCAATATAATTGTCATTTTTGCTTGATTCAATCATAAAGTAGCCATACTTTACCTGATATTGTGCAACTACATTGTACAAAATCTGTTTGTAAAAAATCAAGAAACAAAAATTATATGATATTTTGTAATTTTTGGCGGCCATATTGGCGGCCATCTTGAATTTTTGTACTTTTGCCCGGGCTGCGTAACTTAAGAAATGGGTTTTTAGAAACTACAAACAATACACTTTATAATGGCAATGTTTCTTTTGGTGATACGGTAAATTGCAATAAAACCCCGCCATCTCTTGGACTAAGTGTCTGTGAGCATGGTGAAGGGATCATATATATGTTTTATGTACAGAATACTGTTACATGTCGACACGTCATGTCATCAAATTTACTTGTGAATGATTGTATAACACATGCACTACTTGACTGTATAACAAATGCACATACATAATTTGATTGTATAACACATGTTTTACTTATTGTTGAACACACACATAGTTTGATGGCATAATACATTTTTAACTTAATTGTATAACACATGTATAACTTATTGTATAACACATGGAAAACTTGTTTATATAACATATGTATAACTTGATTGCATAACACATGTATAACTTATATTTGAAGGCACACATAACTTGATTGCATAAAACATGTAAAACTTAATTGTATAACACATGTATAACTTATTGCATAACATATGGAAAACTTGTTTCTTTGACATATGTATAACTTGATTGCATAACACATGTATAACTTATTGTAAAACACATGCACATGTAAAACTTGATTGTATAACACATGTATAAATAATTGTATAACGAATGCAAATGAATAACTTGATTGTATTACACATGTATAACTTGATTGTACAACACACACACGTATAACTTAATTGTATAATACATGTATAGCTTATTGTATAACACATCGAAACTTTATTGTATAACCCATGCATAACTTAATTGTTTGACACATACACATGTATAACTTATCGTATAACACATGTACAACTTATTAAGTTTCTTAAATCACACATTGAATATTGAAACTAAAAAAGTTTCGTTTGAAAATATACTTAGTACAATAGATACTGGTCCTCTATTGAAATATCATTCTCCAATAACGTACAAAGACATGATGCCCTATTTTTCATTTCGTGACGGCCATAAACATTACTAGGGACTGTCAACCTAGTATAGTTATGTTTTAAGTACAATTCAAATAGCCGCTCTGTGTATTCCTGTAAAATAAGAAGTAATAGAGAAAATATAATGAAATGACCAATATACGTTTTAGATGTTTTTAAAGGATATGTGATTAAGAAATAACATCGGCCTGAGATGTGTATATCGGCTATTTAACACCGGTTTGGAGTTTTGATGCGTATGAATTGACCACGAAGGCCGTAGGCCTGAGTGGTTAATTTTGTCGCATCAAAACGACAATACCGGTGTTAAATAACCGATATACACCTCTCAGGCCGATGTTATTTCGATCCTAACACGATGAATAAGGAAAATCACTAATGTTATTTTTCAAGCGGAAATAACTTCCGGTGCCGATTTTCGTATAACGCTGTTCGATTTTCGCACCCTACAGTTGCGAAGATATAGAAATTATTAAACAAAAGAAATAATAAGAAAAAAACGTTATTTTATCAAGTTTTCAACAATAAAAATTTACGTCGTATTGTGTATCAGTGCCCCATTTATCATCTTGTTTATGAATGAGTTGTTTACTTAGGATGACGTCATTACGCTGCTTACGGATTGGCGCCGTTTTGTCAAAATATTTATTAACTGATATGGATCTAATATGTGGCGTTAGTATATATGTGAGATATTATTTCGATATTGTATGAAAGGAAAACATTAAAATAAATGAAAATATAAATAAAAATGTTTTTTATTGTTGCTTTAAAATGCTTTGTAAACTATACAATCGAGGGTGAAAACATAATAGCGCATATACAAGTAGTCCCTAACCGGTGTTTATTGGCAGTTTAACACCAGTTTTTCTCCTTCTTTGTCTATAGTGACAAAATCACGTGAGTGTTAGAATAAAAAAAATTACACATGTATTAGAACACAAACAGGCCAAATCGGTTTTATTTTTTAAATCTATCGTTATTGAACAAAAAAGAGCAGAAATTAAAGTCACAATGCACTTTCACGCATTTATATGTGGCAAGAAACGAATGATATTAACAAGCTGTATCAAAATTTCTTTAATATTAACACGAACAAAATGTCAATCACGTTATATGTATTGCGTCTATTCATTTACTTAGATTGGAAAGCTGTTTCAAGAATTTATATTTTGCAGTAATGACAACATCATATATTCCTAGAAAAAGAGAAATAAAGATGTCTCAAAGGCCAATTATGCCTCAGAAATGCTTTTATTTGAATTTCTCAGAAGCATTTCATTTTTGGTGTTCTTTTATAGTCTTCAAAGAGTTACTCATTGGATAATTAATTAAACAATCTTTTCCATCTGTTGTGTTTCGCCTTTTATTACAGTATGAGTGATAAATTATTTTGTTTGGAAGTCATAATACCAGTTAGTTTACATTTTGAAACATTTCTAAGTGATAATTTCAAATTCATTGTTATTTTCTTCAGGTTACAAGCGACTATCGTAAATGCTGTAAAACTCATTTTTTCCCTTCTAAAGAAAAGAAAAAGGCGTTTATTTGTTTCTAAGTTTTGATGTTATAGATCCCAAAATATGCCCTTTTTCTTGTCATGTCAACAAATAATCTTACTTTAAAGCAGCATGGCTCCAGATTCATGCAAATTTTCATGAAAATTTTGTATATGATTTAAAAAGTAAAATATTGTCAAATAAATAAAGAAAATAATTTTCACGTTGGATACAGCACTGAATTACAACCTATGTATATCAGCAAAAAGATTTTAAAATATGCGAAAATAGCCCTTACTGCGTTAGTAACGCAGTAGAAATACGGTGAAAAATATTGCAAAATCGGTCATAAATCGCCGATTACATAGAAACTATTACTTTTTACTTGAATTTTCTTATTGTTATTATAAATCAAAGTACTTTTTCTTAAGTTTGATTTTCTTGAAATATATTGATTCATCTGGAGGCGTGCAGATTTAAGGTGATACAAGTTAGAAAAGAAATAGTCTTGCCTTTTCCGTTTCTCCCACTCTGCGAGTCACGAACTTAGTAAGGGATTTAAGATTCTGACATCGTCGTTCAAACACAATCTGGAAAAAAGGTTTGATTGCAATTTATTTATATAGATGTACGTCTTAGGGAGTTGAAATAAAACGTACGTAATCAATTTTTTTCTCACAATTAATTTAACACACAATGCAAACATCTGCAGTTGAAATCCTTGAGAAATGTTAAAATGAACAATAAAAATAATATACTTCACCTTACATGGCTCTGGGTCAAAGCGAACAATGTCCAAATACTGTAAGAAATATGTTAAGATGGAAATGCAACTATATTTCTCAAATATAAAAAAATTACACCAATAATAGCTTGTTTGTTAATCAAATCTTTCATTCTCTGTTTATAAAAGAAAGTGTTTTTTATCACTTGTATTCGAAGCAATCAATCGCAGTAATACAAAGAAAACTGTCGCTGTAAATCAAAACAACTATAGTATGCGTATGAATGGCAGCTAAGGCTCTTTGTTAATTGATGCAGAATGCCTATGTCAATCAAGGCAACCATTGTCTGGCGACCAAAGATACACCGTATTACCGGCGCCAGTGATGGCAGATCACTGCAGTGATGGCCGATTCCTGAAATTTACATTTCTTTCACACCGTATTACCGGCGCTCGGTACATGTAGGTTATAAATTTGATTGGTATTATATTACACTAATACGGCCCATTTCATTGCTATAAAACTATTGTCCATTGACTTGGGATACTATTTGATAATTTTGGACTCTCTTTTCCTGTTTTTAGACTATTTTGAGCAGGTTAAAAGTGACAGCTTTGGAAAAATCCGTGAAAATGTCTGTATTTTGTTCAAAATATCTCAAGTTTTAAATAAATGGCAGGATTTCGTGTTATTAATATAGACGTTCATCCATTGGGGTCACGCAAGCCAAATATCTACGCCCTGAGTCTTTTGTTGAAAGTTTTACAGACGTGTAATCTGGTCCGTTAGAAGAAAAAATGCTGCCGTTTTAGGCAGATACTTATTTTAAATGCTGCCGTCGATGGCAGAAATACCATGAAAGTGGTTCACATTCTGACAGAAAATCAAGGTCAATCTTTTATCAATTCCTCTATTCTTTGCGCCCTTTAAGTCGGAATAGAGCAATTAACATGAAGAAATTATTTTTTCTATATCCATGCATGTGTGCTTGAACTGTTGTGTCGGTCAGTTACATGCATACAAAACCATATGAGCCGCGTCACGACAAAACCAACATAATGGGTTTGCGACCAGCATGGATCCAGACCAGCCTGCGCATCCGCGCAGTCTGGTCAGGATCCATGCTGTTTGCTATCAGTTTCTTTACTTGTTTTAGGGTCTTTAAGCGAACAACATGGATCCTGATCAGACTGCGCGGATGCGCAGGCTGGTCTGGATCCATGCTGGTCGAAAAACCATTCTGTTGGCTTTGTCATGACACGGCTCATATGTATCTTTTGTTTAGCGGCGCAAAATTCACTCCCTTTTCAAGACATAACGCTATTTGCATAACTTCAGTAAGTGGATATTCATTTGCTAGCATATGACATTATTTTCTCGGGGTAATAATGTTTATCGCTTTATGACATATTAAGGTTGAAATAAACCTGCTCAAAATAGTTTAAAAATAGATTAGGAAAAAAGAGTCCAAAATTATCAAATAGTATCCCAAGTCAATAGACAATAGTTTTATAGCAATGAAATGGGCCGTATTAGTGTAATATAATACCAATCAAATTCATAACCTACATGTACCGAGCGCCGGTAATACTGTGTGAAAGAAATGGTTCCTTATCAATCATTGCAACCACTTTGCTAATCAACCAAAATGGTCTTAGTTAATGAATGAACTAAGTGTCTGTCAAAACTTCATTAAATATTGATTTTATCCATGATTGAGAGTGTAATTAAAGTTCTACGTGAAATAAAAAAACAGTCGTACCTTTGCAGCAATATCATCTCCAAATATCTATCTTTGTTTACTGCTAAAATCTTAATTAACAAAACGATTTAATCAAAACAATATAAGGATACGCCGTCTCGAAAAAATTCAAAGTATTTGTCTGCTCTTATTGTGTCTTTGTTAATTTTCCACCAAAGCTTCATGTTCAGATTCTTTGTCGACTGTAAAACAACACAATGGTATTTTAAATATTAGGCTCGTGTTCACTACTTTAAAAGCTGGGCTGTTCAAATAGATAGCATATTTAATTTATTAAACGTTTTGATAGTACTGATATAAAATGTTCAAAAGTAACCAACCCTGATTTTAGAAGAAAGAAAGTAGTTAGATGTACGTAGAAAATGTTCTGTTTTATATCGAATTCTATCATATAAAAATACTAACATTTGAAAAGAAAACAATTTATAAATTAGTATAAATATACATTTCCATAAATATGTAAGCATAACCTGTACTGTACGTTTTTACCTTAACTATCCAAGTGTACACGCAACTTTTCTTGTCGATGATATATTCAGTGTCCATCCAAATAGGACGTATTAAAGTCATACTGGTTATCCAAGTAGGAAGTGTTAGAATCATTATAAAAATTAAGACTATCAAAATAACAGTCGATCTGGGGCTATCCATTTTATTTCCAAAAAAGACAGCAATGTAGCCAAATATCAAACTAATGATTAAAAGACCAAGCATAAAGAATACAAGTCCAGTATACAGGGAAAAACCGTCAATAATATGTTTGAATTTAACATGGAAGGAGCTGCTCACTATGGTTTGCATTTCATCAAATCTAGCGTCTGATACCTGCAACGTTTGTAAGAAAATATTACTACAAAATCATTTTAATACATATTTCAAAAGATGGAATATTGTGATGGTGTCTTATGAGTATTTGCTGATGAAAACGATTAGGATATAAATAAACACTGCTTTAATTATAAAAGACTTTTTTATCAACTGAACATTATAGGTAATTCAAATTTATATTGGTCACGTGATCTACTAGATTATTCTTGCAAAATAAATTATTAAATGTAAAATGTATATTTATTTTGAATGTTACCGAAACTCTAACCATTTCCACTAGGGCATAAGGTCACTTTAAACAGACTTAAGAAAATCTAAAGAATCTGCTATTTTCAACTATTTTCCCCCATTGCTTAAGAAGGGTCTCCCTTTCCAGAATTTTAATATTGCTCTCAGAACACTATTTTCCCGTATATTCCATCGGAAGCATATGTTTCAAATTTATAATACATGTATTTGAAAAGTCATTAACATTTAAATAAGACGAAACGAAAGATGAATAATAATATTATTTCTTTGCTCTCGTGACGGCGTAATTGTTATATGGAAACTTAAAAAGTAATTGCAAATTGCACATTCGGAATTACTTTAAACATATTTTATTCATGGTAATTAAAACATGTAAATAATTTACAATTTAAGCAGAAAGGAATTGGACCGAGAGCTACAACAGCTTATGCTAGTCCTCTCCTTTAACAAAAGCAATATGTTCATATAATAATGGCTTGTTATAATTTTAATTAAACCCTATAAAGAAAGAAATTGAAGAAAAAAAATAAAAAATACAAATACATGTATGCAATTGATAGAAAATAATAAAGAGAAAGATGGAGAAAAGATGAGTTTGCGGATGTTTCTATATCATTTGTCGTTTTGGTACGAACATCATGTATGAAGAAAACTTGTATGAACACTATGTTGTATGACAACTAGTATATTACATGTTAGAATATTTTAGTATGTCTTATAAATTTATGAACAGCGCCGAAGATAGCAGTGTTAGAGTCCGCAGGTAAGGCTTGGTCTCCATAAAGAATAATATGTAAAGTTGGAGTGCAAAAGTTGGAAAGAGTGTTTAGTAGATTGGGACGTAGATGACCATATGTTGGACAAATAAAGAAAAAATGATAGGATTTTTCAACCACTCCACAATCATACAATGGAGACTCGGCAATATTCTTATCAAATAAATAAGATACAAGAGAGCTACAATTGATTCGAAGTCTGGTATGCATTATTTGGTCTCTTCGCTCACCATAGTAAAAGAAGTTCTGTATATTTGTTACTTCACTTTAAGACTGCGCTTAAAAGCGGCAAGCATAGGAGCATGTTGGGTTTGAACTGGAAGGGCGTTGAAGTCTCTTATTACAGATGGTAGAAAGGATTTATAGTAAAAACCTGTGCGTGATCGAATGGTCTGTATGTCTTGGGCATTCCTTAAGGGATATCGAAGTTCGGAGCCAACAGAAGAAGGAGATAGTCTGGAGTGAGATTATGTTTCATTTTGTAAAATAAGATAAGTTTATGATTGTATCTCCTTATATAAAGTTTCCCAGGCAATTTCAGAAATAAGATGGTCAATAGAGACGAGTTTGGTTGTTCCTTGCAGCTTCATGTTGAATTTGTTCTAGTTCCGTTTTTTCTAATTTGGTAAAATTATCAAATAAGACATCACCGTATTCAAGGATAGGTCTAATAAATGGAAGGTAGATGAAGAAACTTCCGGTCAAGTGTAAATTAAAGTTTTTTCATTATATTTATTCTTTTTCAGGCTTTAGTTTTAGTGTAATCAAGATGTGCCGACCAACGAAGATCATTTGAAAGAATTATACCTAAGTGTTTATGATTATTTATTTAATGTATTGGTTGACCCTACATAATAATGGACGGATGTATTACTTGTCTTGTTTTACGGGATATTAACATTGATGAAGAGTTAGATTTGACTAACCATTTTTTGACAACCTGTCTACTGTTTGCAAGTCTGCATTTAGAATATTGGAAGCTGATAGCAGATCTTCAACAATAATGAATAGACTAGTATCATCACCAAAAAGTCTGATGTTTGCTTTGATATCAAGAACAATGTCATTTGTCTATATTAGAACAAGAAGTGGCCCAAATATAGATCCTTGAGGGACACACCAGCATTTATATAATTATCAGAAAATAGATAAACACAGAATCCCTAAAGAAAGCCCAACACGGCAAAATTGAAAATGTTGCAGGCTCGGTTTGATTGAGCCTGTTCATGAACGGTACTGGAATGTACAACCTTTTAGAACAACTCTTTGTTTTCTGTTATCAAGATAGGAAGTGAACCAGAGTAAAAGACGACCGGAAATTCCAATGTTATTAAGTTTAAAGATAAGACCCTTATGCTATACACGATCAAACGCTTTACTGATGTCACAGAAAACTGTTCTCTACTCTTTTCCAGAATCAATGGCTTGAGCAAATAAATTGTATATGTAAGTCAGTTGATTAATTGTAGAGTCACCAGGAACAAAACCTGATTTTATTTGGAAAAGAATATTATTAGAATGAAGGAAATTAAATGTATGTTTGAATATGATTCTTTCAAAAACTTTATTGATAATGCTTATAAGAGAAATAGGACTGTAGTTATTTACTAGAGAAGGATCACCGGATTTAAAAAGAGACGTTTGCTTCTTTCCAAGCATCAGGCACTTGACACATTTGTAGAGAGTAGTTGAAAAGAGAGCAAGGAGGGCCACTGAGCTCAATCGAAAGTTCTCGTAGGATTATATTATTATTAATTTTGTCTGGGCCTGATACTTTTCCAAGAGGAAATGATTTTAAGATCAATTCTACTTCGTCAAGACTGATGAAAATGTCGGATAATATTGAACCACTAGAATTTGGTAAATCAGGAAGAATAGGTGCTGCATTTGTATTTATATCTGTTTGAGCAACAAAGTATTCATTTAGAAAATTTGGCTTTTGTGTTTCATCTGTAATAGTGTCATTTCCGTTTACGAGCGGAGGTATAGAATAGGAGACAGAAGGTTTAATGAAGGTTTTCAGACAGGTCCACCAACACTTAGAATTGCATGTTTCCTCTTTAAGCTTATGTGTAAGATTGTCAAAATGAGTTTTCTTTGCCTCACAATTAAGTGTATTGATTTGGTTTAGAAGAAGACGAAATTTTGCCCAGTGACGCGGTAAATTTGATACTTTGTCAATGCGATACAAGCCTTAAAATTGCGTTTCCTTATAAGAACTCGAAGGTCATTTTTAAGCCAAGGGGGATCAGTTTCGCGTACAGTACTAACATTTTCCTATTTAGTATACATTTCGTAGAAATGTTGATAATTTCATTTGTGACATTAGAAATATAAATGTTTATGTCATTATTTTTCAAATTTTTCCCAGTTGCTTTCAGCGGCTAATTGTCTAAGCATGGTATAGTTTCCTTTGTCGAATATCCAAACCTGACGATAGAAAGTAGAACGTTTAGGTTTTTTAAGATTTAGCAGACAGTAGATTACTTGCCGATAACTATTTGGAAACAATTCGGGTAACACGAGTGTTATCTTTGCATAAAGAGTAATTGATGAATATATTTGACATCCACGGTAAAATAAAGCGTTTTCCGAAAATATTAAAATATCTCCTACAATTAGAATCAAATAAAGAATACCCATTTGCATACATTTAAAATCTGTCCGAAATATTGACAACAGGTAGGTCATGCCTTTTTCTTTAATAAAACACTTCATAAATAGCAAATAAATAATATACGTTTCCTTCGTAAATCTTTAGATTCACTCTTTTTATTTTTCCTCATGAGAAGAACTTTATTTCTTAAAAGTCACTGAGAAGCCACGACATGGGCTGTGGCTATTTGATTTATGGACTGTGCCCTCTTGATATTAGGAAGTTTTACTTTGAGTTTAGAGGTTAACAAAGTAACTAGAAGTAGACCACAGAAATTAGTAAAGTAGTGAGTATTGAACAAACAAAGCGAAGTTTAGTAAGAAACAAGAGCCAGTTGAACCGGGTGATGCTCCCCGAGAAGGTTTTGGACACAGGAAAGTATTAAAAAAATTAACAAAGGGCAAAAACTCCAAAATTAGGCAAGGCAGAGTTATAGTTTTTTGCACTGCACTTCTATTCAATAAGATCTATATATCTATAAAGTTTTGTGATTATATCTCCTATAGTTTTAGAGTTATGTCCCGGGTAAAATTCAAAGTGTAAAAATGAACAAAGGGCAATTACTCCAAAATTAGACAAGGCTGTGTTTAGGTTTTTTAGCATTGCATTGCATGAGATCTATCTACTTACAAAGTTTCATGTTGATATCTCTAATAGTTTTAGAGTTATGTCCTGGACAAAAGTCAAAAACTAAAAATAAAGGGCGATAACTTCAAAATAAGGCCAGGCAGACTTATGGTTCTTAAGCACTGCACTTGTATGTAATGAGACCTATCTACCTACAAAGTTTTATGTTTGTATCTTATAATTTAGAGTAATGTCCCGGACAATGTTTAAAGTGTCAAAATGAACAAAGTGCAATAACTCCAAAATTAGGCAAGATAGAGTATTGGTTCTTTCACAAAGCACTTCTACTCAATGAGATCTATCTACCTACAACTTTTCATGTTGATATCTTGAGTTATAGCCCGGACAAATTTCAAAGTGTAAAAATAAACAAAGGGCAATAATTCAACAATAAGGCATGGCAGAGTTACGGTTCTTGTGCACTGCAAACCTACTCAGTGAGATCTATCTATCTGCAAAGTTTCATGTTGATAACTCTTATAGTTTTAGAATAAAGTCCCGGACAAAGTTCAAAGTGTAAAAATAAACAAAGGGCAATAATTCAAGTATTAGGCAATGGAGAGTTACGGTTCTTGTGCACTGCATACTTACTCATTGAGATCTATCTACCTTCAAAGTGTCATGTTGATACCTCTTATAGTTTTAGAGTTATGTCCCGGACAAAGTTCAAAGTGTAAAAATAACAAAGGGCAATAGTTCAAAAATAAGGTTAGGCACAGTTACGTTTCTTGTGCACTGCACACCTACTCAATGAGATCTATCTACCTACAAAGTTTCATGTTGATACCTCTTGTTGTTTCAAAGTAATGTCCCGTACAAAAAAAATAGGACGGACAGACAGACGGACGGACAGATGCGGCGACTATATGCTCATCCTTCGGGAAGCATAAAAAAGCAATCAAATGTTATTCCTCATATTACATTGTACATTTGATATAATATGATATAAATGTCATTATTGCTTATTTAAATTATTTCTTCGTTTTCCATAAATAGTTCCTTTCGCAATCGTAACAACTCGGCAACCTCCGTCAAGTTCGGATTTTTGAACCTTAAAAATGCGCGTGAGGTGTTCCGATTGTTCCTTTCGGACAAGTCCATATTTTATTGCATCGTATGGTCTATTTCAAGGTTAGAATTTCTGTCAGTTATAGCCCGTTTCAAAGTCAAAGCAAGCAACGTACCATTGTTAGTAGCGAGGGGCATTAGTGGCCAATCATTAGATTTCGTTGCTAAAGAGTTTTGAATAAATCGTTTATTCGATACAACACACAATTTAACGTAAATTGGCTTCATGTATTTACATAACTTTATTCTTTATCTTTACTCCTCTACGTTGACTCTTGTTTATAACGATATTTATAAATCTAGTGTTGTCCTAGAATTAATTTGGTACGCAAAACGTGTACAATATAATGCTATAAGCTAAAACACAACATTTACTTGTGTAGCATGACAAAAATACCATTAAGTTGCGATTGGCAAGATTCATTTTGAGAATTTATTTCCAATGTTTATATCCTTTAATAAAGGACAGCCTTCCAAATAAGCAATCATACGACCTTTATATAGTAATTGTTCTTAGCGTGAAACAACTTTTCTTTTGTTTATATTTCCTTATATGTAAATGATATTAAAACGATCGAGCCTTCGGTTTGCATCGGCGCTCTAAGAATCGAAGCGCTTGTTTAAAAAAATAAAGGAACTGATAGTAGATCGTTTGAAATAAATTGTTCGTGAACAAGTAACAGTAACAATATTTTTTTTGTAAATAACATTTTCTTCGAAATGTAAATATCACAAACTACTAATAAAAAACAAACCATAAATGTAACATGTTTAGGTAAAATCAAATCGATGGGTGTCGCAATTTTGTTGCTTAGTAAACGTTATTATGTGATATCATTAAAATATACAATTACCTCATCCATGTCATTTATGTCACTGTCGATTAAATTGATAAAGAAATGGAATTTCTGGCTTTCAAGATATAGATTTTTCAAGGATAAATGTCTATCCTTACTCAGAAAGGCCCATTATATAACACACAAAATGGATTTTTGATGAAAATAGGTCGCATTCATAATCTTTTAAAATGTATTATGCAGTAGGTTACTTTTCTATAAAATGCCCTATTTTTAAATAACAACGGCTTTCTACTCAATTTGGAAGAATTTGATGAGCATGTTTTCATATGCATTTATGCCATGTTTCAATACAGCAGATTTACCAGTTCAATACCTTTTTTGCAATTTCAATTTAGCCGGCGTGGAATCATAATGTACAAAAAAAAATATGTTATCAAAGCTGTTTGCCAACATCTTTATACCGGTCATGGCTCTTTGTTCTGTAAATAGGCACTTACTAAAAAAAGAAACAAAATGTTTAAATAGGATACCTGCAAACTACTTACATTAAATCCCTTCATTCGAATAAACTGTCTTTCATTTTGGCTCACCAACAAGTTGTACCTCCTTATCGCCAACCTTTTTAAGAATCCTTTTTTATATGATGTCAAAGGTAAACTACGAGTTAAGCCATTTGTACCTTAAATTTGAATTAATTTTGAATTAATTTCAATTTCAATTTCTCTTCAGCACTACGTCTTTAGCACTCATGTTGACAAAGCCTTAATAAAAAACTAGTCTATACTTTTCTTTCATTCATAAATGACCTTGACTTTCATGTTCAGACGTCTTAATTTGCTTGTTGTTTTTTTTGTTGATTTTTGCTATTAATGGTTATAATTTTGTTATTTTTGAATAAATTGTCTTCAAACTTGAACAAAATATTCTAGGACAAACCCTTCATGTGTATTGAACTTAAACTGACATTGGCTTGTTCATATATCTTAGTAATTAATAGTTGGATTCATACCCTTCTAAAATGTTGAACTGACATTGACCTTAATCTTTAAATGGCATTGACCGTCAAAGGAAAACTATTGATTTTTGGTTTGGTTGCCTTAATTTTGTTACTTATATACTGATTTGATTTAGACTTGGAACAAATGACTTGCTACCAAACAAATATATTAAATAATTTGGATGTGATTTTAACCTTCAATTGATCTTGGCCGTCAAGGCCAAACTAATGAAAACCGCTTCTATTTGGTAGGTCAGGACCTTCATGCATATTACACTAACATTGACCGTGACTCATGTATTACATTGAAATTGAACGTCAACTATTTGAACAGTCACTGATTGTTGCCGTAATTGGATGTAACTTGACAATTAATCTATGGATATTTTCATAGTTGGTCCAAACAACATTTTGGATAACACCTTTAAGTGTCAGAAGACAGACCTATAAAATATGATAATCTTTAATTTTCTTTTTAATTATTTGTTTAAACTGTTTATTTTTTTGCCTTTCGAAAAAGTTTTTAAAAAAGTCTAGCATTGCCTCGCCCTGCGGTGGCCCTTGCTTAAAAGTTTAAATAAAATGAATTATTTAAAGTACATATTTATTTCATGAACAAAAACATGTTATGTTTTTTGTACTCACGTTCCTGTTCTACGTCCCATACTGTGAAAGAAAAGAAAAACATTATCTCCAATGTTACTGTTAAAATTCAAAATATCTTAAGCATGTCCACTTCATCCTGACATTTTTACAAGGAGTATTCTTATGCATATCAAAAAGTGCAATGTGATGTCAGACACAAACTGCAAATATGATACTTAAAACTGTTAATGTCTTTTCAATTTTCTGCAATTGTCATGAAATTTTGTTGTGATTAATGCTTCCAAAAACACTTAATCCGAATTATTGTCATATCCACTTTTTTCTGTACAATGACTTAACAGTAATCATGTTTAATTGGAAGTTAAAGAAAAACTCTTACCGTTTTGTAAAAATGCATTTATTATTGGTATATGCATTTCGCTCGACTCTTTGTTTTTAGCGTCTATATACGTTACATTCTGCAAAACTTCTGGAATATCGCACGGCTCGACCGTAATAGGTATGATGATATAACCATCTGTTATACATGTGTGAACAGCTTGGTGGATTTCATGTTGACAGAAGCTACTGCTAACTGACTCTTCCGAAAGAATAATGATCATACCCGTGCTCTTCTTAATAGCGTCGTTAATGTTTTGTAACACTTTTTTACCAGATGGAAAGTCACGTTCATTATAGCAGCATTTTAATCCCTCAGCTTCTAAATATTTCACGATTTCTCGAACGATTGCTGCATCACATGCGGTATAACATATAAAAAGATGATAGTCTTTCGTATTAGGTAAGTCTGGAATATTATGTTTACTTTGGGAACGCATTCTATCCGCTTTAACTTCCTTTTGTAATTTAACATCAGTTGGTTCACACATTTTTGTCTAGTTTCGACGAACAAAGAAAATTTAGTTATGTTATTTGTATGTTAAAGGCAACCAACATGTATTCAGTTAAAAACAATTAAATTGTTTTCTTTAATTGCTGAAGCGTTATTGCAATTTAAGACGATCATATTACATAATTAAGCCATATAACATTGAAAAAATCGATAGTGGTTTTGTAAAAAAAAAGTATTGTCTTATTTAGAATTCAAAAGAAATGTCAATCTTTATTAACTATATCTTGTTATGCTTACGAGTTTGAAATGATTCTAATAACATACATGTTCAAATTCAATTTGAGGACAGTTAGATATAGAATAATTCAGAAAAAATGTGATATTATTTTCTGTTTTATCAATGCAAAGATTAACTTTCTAGATAAATGCCAAAATGTATCGAAACAAAATCATCAACAGTTTCATAAAATATGTCTTGACTGTGTACTTCTTTCATGTGGGATTGGTAAGCTGACATATTTTATACTTATATATTTGATTACATTGCATATGTCTTTTTGAAATTTTAATCGAATAACCTATTTTCTTTTTTATGTAAAATGTATTACATGTGTTTTTCTTATATAACTTACAGTGTTAAAGGTTTATTTCCAGGTTGATTGTCAACTTCTCTGTACATCACCCGATATTTGTCCACTGCATAAACCATACTGCACAACAAGTGGTTGTGTATTCGAATGTCCAAAATCAGCGTATATTAATGGAACGGAATGTGTTGCTGAGTGTGGAAATCATTTTGTTTTTGATAAAACATGTGTAGATCTTTGTCCTAGAAATACGATTTTAAGAGAAACACCAAAGCTTCTTGGAAGAGACATCTATATTGAAAAACTATGCGTGACCTCGTGTGATCGTCACGAATATATTTATAACGGCAAATGCGTTAAAGCATGTCCATCGACGCATAAGTACATACACGAAAATAATTGTACAACTGGTTGTCTACAAATTACGCCATTTATAAAAAATGTAACAGTAAATGGTATATCTTTCCATAAATGTGTAAAGGATTGTGAATATCTTATCGAAGGCAGCTTCTGCACCAATGTTTGTGACCGGAACAAATATATCTTTAATTCTAGGTGTATAAATCAGTGCCCAGCTTCACATTCTTTTTCATATAATCAGTATTGTTTGCAAAACTGTACTGGCATGACTGTGATATTTGGCAATAACACATGCTTGTTCAGATGTCCAATAGATTACCCTTACGTTTTCAATAACATGTGTGTCAATCGTTGTCCTAAAGAGAGCGCATATGTTGTATCAAAAGATTCAAAATATAACAGACTGCATTGTTCGGCAGAATGTCCACAAATGATGTTTAACCACAATTTGACATGTGTTGAAAAGTGTCCTTATGGAACGGTTATTGACAATAAAATGTGCAGATCACAGTGTTCAAAACATCGTCCGTACTCTTGCTTTTTCCAAAATAACAATCCATGCAGCGTAGATATTCATGAAGTTGCCCAGAAACAAACAATATGTCGTGAGCTTTGTCCTAAAAATATGTTCACGCTTGATATGACATGCGTGTCCAATTGTCCTTCTGGTTACAAGTATCTAAACGCAACCTGTGTTTATATATGTCCGAATGATTTTCCATTCGTGTATAACAATAGTGTGACGGAAGATTGTGATACAGATATTTGTGTAACGGTTACGGTAAGACTTACATGTACAAAGAGTTGTCCTGATTCCATGTATAAAATGAATCAAATGTGTTTGCCGGCTTGTCCTGATGGGCTCTTCACTGTTAGCAAAACTTGCAAGATTGTTTGCCCAAAAATGTTACACTTGAAACGTCATACTCACATTCCATATGAGAAATATGATTTAGTAAAAAGTGGGTGGAGTACTTATTGGAGAAAGCAAAATATTCAAGTAGGAATTATTGAATGTGTCACTGCATGCCGTAAAAATGAGTGGATTCTTAACTCCACATGCATGGATACTTGTCCAAATAATACTTTTTTTGTAAATAGAACATGCATCTCCGAATGCCCGCATACTTTCAATTTTATCATTCAACGGACAACAGTTATAAAATGTTCACTTTATTACATGTGTGAAAAACTATATCGTTACTGGGAGTGTCTACTTGAATGTCCACCAGGAACTTACCAATTTAACTCCACATGTGTATATGAGTGTCCACATTTTACATTCAAATTTGGCAATTCATGTGTGAATGAGTGTCCTGAAGCTCAACGATTTCTTCTACAGAGTAAAAGAACTGTAAGCCGATGGATACAAGTAGGATGGTTTCAGAAAAGATTGTCAAAAGTGAACCACACTGTGAATGCAGGGTTTATTTGTTTAAAATCGTGCCCGCCTGACAAAAAGATTTATAATTTCACATGTTATGATCAATGTCCAGCGCAGTTATTTCTTAATGGCAATAAATGTGTTAAAGAATGTCCTCCTGAAAACCCATATAAATACAAAGGAAATGTACAATGGTCTTGCATTCGTTACTGTAATGACAAAGAGTCATTTTTTCATAATGGAAGGTGTACCAAAAACTGTCCTTTACCTCTCATTGGCTACGATGGTTTATGTACTGACAAATGTCCAGACGGTTTTATTTGGTGGTATGAAGACTGCTCAAGAAACACAGTTGCTGTAATTTGGTTTGCAGTAACATTTGGAATCGACATCATCTTATTGATTTTAGGAAAGGATATTTTAAAAGAATACTTCACTGTCCTTCACATGGCATTGCGTATGAAAACCCATCAAACAGTAAGTTTGTTTATACATCTCACTTAAAAGACGATCACAACATTTACAAAGTTAAAAATGTATTGACACTTTAAACAGAAATGAATAAGAACTGTATTTTGTATATTCTTTTATTCAATTGAATATATTAGTGTTTTTTTGCACTTTTCGCAGCATGAAGAAGTCGTCAAGTATACAAAGAATACTGGTGATCTAGAAGGATATGTAAACATTGAGATGGTTCAAATCACAGATACAGACTAAAGGTTATCTGACTTTCAGCGTACACTTTTTAGGTGAACATTAAAATGGAACAAGCTGAAGACACTTATACTATACTAACTGTCTTCTAGCAATGTGATAGCTGAAAAAAGTGTGTGTAATGATAGAGTAATGGGTCAAATGGAACATATCTGTAATAGGTTAGATGGGCAGATAGCTGATGATATGCTTAAATATTACAAATACAGATACATCACGGTTATTGACTTACAGCAAACGATATATAAAAGATGTTATCTTTGCATGCACGCTAACGTTGTCGTTGATATCTTTTTGGAGCAGGTTGGGGCTTTCTCGTTTTTTTTTTCAATTTGTGATTATTTTTCTTGCTTTTTAAACACACGCATTTTCTTTTCAACCTGTGTTAAGATTTAAATGACTTGACATGCGTTCATTGAGCGCCGCTTTTCCTTGTTGATCTTGTTTATCATATTTCACATTAAAGATTAGATTTTTTCTATTATATCAAAAGTGCTTATTTCTGCAGGTGTTAAAATTTGATTGGTTTGTTGTAGTTTACGTTTCCAATGAAGTTAGTTTGTATGAACTAAATATCTCTGTATCAGGAATGTTAAAAGTAGTTTTCAGCTATTCAAAAAGTTGTTTAAAAGTGTTGAAAATAAATCTTATTTTATTGCTTTTTACACATTTCCATTTTTGGAAACAAATAAATATCCATTATTTTTATATAAAAATTTTGCCAAATCATATGTTTGATAGATTTATAGATTTTGTTGATTTTTTATTAGCTTTATTTTACTCAATGCTATAAGTAATTCTCTGAAGAAAATATTTTCGATAAATTATTTCTGTATGTCATTTATGTTTGAATTATATTTTATTAAATCGATTTCACCCAGTGTTATCTTTATTATTATTTCAACAATCCATGATTATTTTCATCAAATATTCTATTGATCCAGCTTGATTGAAATGAATTAATAACGTTGTCGTTGATTTTTTTTTTTTTTTTTTGGAGCAGGTTTGGGCTTTATCGTTTTTTTCCCAATTTGTGATAATTTTTTGAGATTTTTAAACACACACATTTTCTTTAAACCTGTGTTAAGATTTAAATGACTTTACATTAAAGACTAGATTTTTTCTGTTATATCAAAAGTGCTTATTTCTGCAGGTGTTAAAATTTGATTGGTTTGTTGTAGTTTACGTTTCCATTCTATGGGAATGGATGAAGTTAGTTTGTATGAATTAAATATCTCTGTATCAGGAATATTTAAAGTAGTTTTCAGCTATTTAAAAAATTGTTTAAAAGTGTTAAAAATAAATCTTATTTTATTGCTTTTTACACATTTCAATTTTTGGAAACAAATAAATATCCATTATTTTTATATAAGAATTTTGCCAAATCATATGTTTGGTAGATTTATAGATTTTGAATATTTTTTATAAGCTTCATTTTACTCAATGCTATAAGTAATTCTCTGAAGAAAATATTTTCGATAAATTATTTCTGAATGTCATATATTTTTGAATTATATTTTATTTAATCTATTCCACCCAGTTTTACCTTTATTATTATTTCAACAATCAATGGTTATTTTCATCAAATATTCTATTGATCCAACTTGATTGAAATGAATTAATGGAAATTGAAAAGTCAAAGCATATTATTATCTTGCACAATAATATTCCTTTTTAACCTTGTCTTTTTTCAGTTCCATATTTAAAGTTCAAAACAGTTTTGTTTAATTGCGTTTATAATTTCTTCTGATGGACTCGGGGTGGGGGGGCAGATATTAGTAAGATCATTTTAGAACTAATTGAGGACTTTAAGACGGAAATATTACCAAATGTTGTCAGATGTCTTCCTCTCAAACTTTTTATGTCTTTATATTGATGTAATTGCTTGCAATTATTAAGTCACATTTTGAATGGAATATCATGCCTAATGTTTTTACACATTAGGATGCCAAAACTTGATTTTTTTTCTACGTTAAACTAAATCATGTTCATTTCTTAGACTAAGTGAATCTTTTATGCTTGGTTTCTTAAAGCTATTTAATTTACTATTAAATTTTAAAGTTGTATATATCTGAAAACAAGCTTGTTAACTTCTACATTGAAACCCTTCAATATATACATATGTGTGTGTGTGTGTGTGTGTGTGTGTGCGTGTGTGTGTGTGTGTGTGTGTGTGTGTGTGTGTGTTGGTGCGTGCGTGCGTGCGTGCGTGCGTGCGTGCGTGTGTGTGTGTGTGCGTGACATTATTTGGTAGAATTTGCAATTTTCAAACCGGATCATGGCAGTAAGCCACATTGAATTTTCCAGAGCATAGTTCAGCCATTGCACCGTTCCTAGGCAAGCTATCAAGCAGTTTTAACAGTATTAGTTGCCTTCACTTTCGCAAGGTACAGTACAAATGGCCGTAGAAAGGATTTCATGATCAAGGACAACTTCGTTGTTTCGTTCTTTAAATGTCAATGCCAAGTGTTTTCTCCTACGTTTTATGGTTTTGGAGATGTTGTAAAAAATACACATTCAGTTTAAGTAAATCACGCGAGACGTTATTAATTGGTACCAAAATAAATCAGTTTTCTTCCTTCTCTTAACACACAAAATCAAACATGATATAAACATGTGTTCTCGTAGAAGTCCTTATAAAATCTTATTGAAAAATCTGTAGTGTAAAATGTTCTTTGCAAGATGTATACAGTAATAAGTAAATTAATTTTGTAAAACGAGCAAATTCTGGATAGTAAGTCACAGACCACAAAATTATAAGTTTCAAGCACAGTTTCTAATACTTAACATATACATTAAAAAGAAATAAAAGTGTAAATGTAATGAGAAAAACAATCTTCCAATTCATGATTAGATATTTTACTTTTGTTTTCTAAAGAAAAGGATGCTAAATCAGTTGTTTTCAAAATATATTGATTTTACGGTGCATGATTTAGGATCCCGTTGTCGCATTTTGCGATACATTCCTTAGATTAACTAACGCCACAAACACCTTATCTTAGTTTATAATATAATATAATTAAATGAAGATTATGTTGAAGTAAAAAAAATAAAACAGAAAGATGTGAAGTTAAGGAAACCAAAATATAAAGCTGCTATTATCCAAAGACAATACATTTGATTCCGCCATTTTGTTAAAATTGTTTTATGCTTCTTTATTATTTCAAAACGTTGTTTTTTTTACATTTTAAATACGTCAATATTGCAAATTAGGTAGAAATATTGTTCATATCAATACATATTCTGTAAGAAGTTAGCTAAAAACCTAATCATTTACTTGTCCGAGAGCGATAAGTGATAAGGTTGAAAAGCGAAATAACTCATCTAAACAAATACTAGTATTATTTGAATTACCTCCCTTCTATTAGAATATACATACAGTAGTCTTACAAATTCTAAATAGTTGTAAAATTCCATAAGAGTTATGTCCCTTTTCCTGTATTTCAATCAGGCATTTCATATCAATAAAAATTTGAAGTAAACAAGCCATTGACTGGCGTTTGTTAGTGTGCTTACAATATTTGCAGTATTTCCAGATCGCCCATTTTGAATCAAATTTGATTCCATGATAACTCAATTCAATTACTCCCATTTTCTCTCAACTTTAAGTTTGCCGGGAAATGTTTTAAAGTTTAATATTTTGTATGTGTCATTTTATTATCTTTGCATTTTGACAAATGCGTTATAAAGACAAAAAAGAATATTTGCATTTAACATAACAATTAATTCACTATAATATTAATATGTTCACTATATAATGTTACAATGGATTAATGTGAATAATTTGTGAAATATTGTACCTAAAAATCAAATAGGGAGAATTGGGAAATATTTGAACCAATCTCCGTACAAGAGCCACTTATATGCTTGATTAGTACAGTACATGTATAGAATGATTTGTGCAATTTCAACATTTTATGTCAATCTGTTGTATCGAAATATGTCTTCTTTCTGTTTCGTCTCGAAAAAAGTGCAGACATCTAGTTAGCGACCGTTAAAAGTAAACAGTGCTACCACAAATTAGGCAAAGATGCATACATCTGTAAATAGTATACCGTTAAGACACAAAATTGTTCTTATAGTTATAACATCATGTTTTCAAAAATAATACAAAATACCACAATAACATTTTTCTACCTATAAAACACATTTGTCTAAATACTCAGATGATAAAATGGCACGTACCTCCTAGCTGTTTATCGTTCCTACATCTTGGAACACTGAAAATCCGCATCGTTTCAGTCCAAGCTACAGTAACATTTTCGTAATGCCTCAGACAACGACAACAACCCTCCAGTATGATCAGAAAATAACAACGCCATAGGTGCTACCGAGGTCTGCAAATGATGATCATCAATTATGATGTTTCAATGTTTCAAGCGCGAAATTAAACAACAACAACAAGCTTCGATGTGGTTCAGAGGACAAGATCGACAATGCAGGTGCAATTAAGAAACGCAGAACAACGCTTCGTGCGAAACAGAGAAGAACGATATATTTAAATGTCTTGGCCTTGAAGTCAAATTTTTCGTTTTTTGTTGTTGTTCGTTGTTGTTGTTGTTCTTGTTGTTGTTGTTTTTAATTAATTTATTTTTATTTCCTTTTTCTTAAATATAAGCGACCTAGTGGAGAGAACCTTTTTTTTATAATGATTACGGAACTTTCTATCTTCCTTTATGAATAAAAATGTTTGTTACTACTCGTTTTAATAGAATGCATATTTGGTTTATAAATTTATTTTAGTTCGATTGTGTAAGAAGCTATAAGCTTATAGACACACTTCCGAATCCGTTCCTGGAACCAACCAGTAATGAACAATGAATGTAAAGATTCTTACTTAAAGAAACAACGACTTTGAATATTTTGTATAATTATGATACTGAACATAATTTACACTACGTTCACTATTGACATGTTAACAATGTCACATATATTTCAGGAAATGACGAAAGGGCGAATTGAAGAGAACATTACAAAGAAACTCAGTAACAACACTGGTCAGTTCAGATTTGGAAAGAAAACTCTGGTACTTGCTGTGTCCGGAATCTCTTTGACCTTTGCCTTAGGATATTTTGCTTTCTTCAAATTAAAGATAAAAAAGAATTAGCTTAGATACATGAAAGTTACTTGCAATCGTTAAATAGATTTTATAAAATCTAAGATTATATGTTGGTTTAATTGTTAATAATCACACTCACAAAACTGCCTTTGACCTTTTCTAGAGACCATTAACTCTTTCCGCGCTAAATTTCTTTATTGGACTTGTCCATCTAACTATTCATCAATTTTTCTAATCCTTTATTAAAATTAAATAGAAACTATACTGTACCCTCTCTAAATACCATTTACTCTTTCCGCGCTAAATTGTCTTCCCTGGTCGCCGATTTGTTTTATATTGCTATGAAAGAGACTTTGCGTTGATTCTCTACGATGATACACAACAAGATTGTAGCATTTAAAAACACTTCCCGGTGCCTTGATGATAGTTTTGATTTAAATAGTTCTTATTTAATCAAATGGTGTCTATCTCAGTGAACTTCAACTAGCGGAATATTTTCATTACATGCAAGCTTCTCAAACAGGGCTATTAGAAATTACAGAAATATTTTACAAAATTTTATTATCGTAATTTCGATTAAATTTAAAATTTCAATATTGATTCAAACGCACTTCTGCGACTAGGGATTAACAAGCCTGATTTTTATGGGGATGTCATTTACAAACTTTGTAAGATCTTGGGTCGTGTTTATTTTTTGTGTGTCTTTATTCACATTTTTAAAACTGTTTTTAAAGAGATTATGACCCTTCTGTTTTAAGATATACCGCATGCTTAGTGTTAACATCTGACGAGCCAAGTGAGATACTCTATGATGGATAGTTCTTCAAGCCCTTTTGGACTAAGTTGCCTTAATATTAGTCCTTTGCCTTGCTTCGTCTGGCCCTTCTAGGTGATTTTCTTGTACCTCCGTCTTCCTTTAAGGCATTAAGTACTTTTGTTATGGCCATTGGGTTTTATATATATCTACATGATAATTTCTTAGTTTTATTATTTCACCTTAACAACTGTTAGAATTTCACTTGACACGGATTCATTTTATTTACATTTTCTCGTTTAAAACGAACATAGTGGGCTAAGAGTGAGGTTTGTGCACCAATAACCGGTTTAAACTTCCCAGCAATACTTATGCTGCTGACCAATCCAAGGCGGCGGCGCCCCTCTGTGTTCCTCAGATGTATGTCTTGTTTGTTGTTTCATAATACATGCATTATGTTGACACTTTGTGTCCCTTCTTGTTGTATTCTCGTCTACGGTAAGTATCTTCCCTTCGTCCAAAAGTTTAGTTTAATTACTTTAATTTTGCCCGCACGACTCTCCCGACCCTCAAGTGCTCGTCCCCTACACCCCTTTACTTTTGTGAGCTTATTAATTAATCGTCTTGTTTAATGTCCTTGTCGGTTTCTGTTATTTAGTATAATGTATAATTAAATCAATCAACCTGTCCGTGCCCTGTCATGCTCTTGTTTCGTTTCCTGCTGGGTTCCTTGCCGGTGGTCCTTTGTTGTTGGATCGTGTGGGGATTGCGTTAATTGAACGTTTCCCTTCCTTTTCATATTATATATAATATGCAATACAATATGAATATTATACATCAATGGTGCACTGTAAACAACATGTTCATTCATTAAAATAAAACTAAATGCACGAGTGTTATAAACGAATCAAAAAAGTATTTTTATAAAGAATACCTGTTTGATGAGCAAGAAAAGAATGTGAAGATGCACGACAAAAGGCGTTTATATAGATATTACATTATCCTGATATTTCCAAAATAAAGCCATTTCCTGTAAACCTAACTCAAAGACGAATAATTATAGATGAAATAAAACATTTATTTACAAAGCACAATTTATAATCTTTTCGGCGATATAAGCACGTGTACAAAAGTTGAGATGTTCCAATGAACTGTCAAATGGAAACATACATCCTTTTGAATCATCGCAACTTCTCGACCCTTTCCGTAAAACGTCGGATACGGTACCGTCGTCAAACCAATCCTTAGTTCTGGCTTCCATAACATTATATGTCGCTTTTATTTTGATGTTGTGCGACAGTAAAGTTATGGGTCAACCCTATTTGCAAAGGCCACCAGAATTTTGGCAGTTTGTGTGCAGTACATAAAAACCTATTAAAATAACCCTGACTTATTAAACAAATTTGGGTCAAATAAAAGATATCATTTGGTAAACAAATCAAATTTGAATCAATACATATTTTTGGGGGGTTTTAAAATAAAACTTCAATGAAATCGTGTACCCAACTGTTTGTCAGGGAATTATGTAGAGATTGTTTACCAATATGGGGTCACAATATGTCACAGTTCTGGTTGACTTTCGATGCGGATTGGTTCTATAACCTGTTCGCTGAAGTCTCCGTAAGAATCTAAACATGTAAACAAAATGGTAATTTAATGCTCATGATGATGGGGTCGTTGACAAAGTTTATTCGAATATGTCGAATTAAAGTCCGCCTGAATTAAGAAAATTTATTTAACAGTTGATCCATCATTGATCTTGATCCTTAAACTGATCATAATTTTGATCTGATTATTTCTAATTCTTTTTTGTTATTCGTCGATTTTATCCCAAAGTAGGTTTGTTTCTTTGCAAATCAGCAATATTTTACATTTTGAATAAGAAGCATTTAATTCTAGCAAAATACGATCAATTTAAGTTTTCTAAAATAATGAAAATAAAATCGGGATCGTTTGATCCTGATCCTTGTCTTTTCTTAGTGAACACGGGGCCTGGCGTTGAATATTTAATTATTTATTTTTATATTTTTAATAAATGTCATACTAGATTAAATGGTTAATCAAATATTCTTACAGCATTATTTAAATAAACCAGGGTAAAAATAAGACATTTCTAGCACAATACGACACTATTTATTATAAGTTATTGAAGTAACACAGAAAATTGCGAGAGGATTGCATGGTACACTACTATATTGAACAGTCCTATTGATTAAAGCTCAAAACAGTTCTTGTTTTGCTCTTATAGCATCAATAATTACTAAAAAAAAACCGTTGTACTACTGTGGCAATGAATCGTGATTTGTTTTGAATGCTATTTCTTGCTGAAAAAGAGTATTATAAATTTACACCAATTTTTATATTTACACTGATATATTCAAAATATCTGAATGATCTCAACATTATCTTAGTGAAACATTAAAGTAGACTATTCCCACTGTCTTGTTTACAGAAATAATTAAATCATAGTACATAAAATGTTACTTTGCAAACAACCTTGTACAAAAGTCACAATGGAAGCATTTCTTTTACACGGAAGTACATTCTACACCACTTTCTATAACCGGTCATATTTGAACAACGCTTCTGTTGCTGCCTATTAAACCGACCATACCTAAATGTCTTATAAAACTTTATGTTCTAGTAAAGCAAACACGTCAATATAAATGATGTGTTCTCCACAAGACGGTTACATATTGACCTAGTAGTGATTGATTACTAAAATGCGCTTTTAATGTACTTTAAAAAAGATAGTTGTTATCAATAATTATCTAATTCTTATGTGGATATTACAAACGACGGATTTTCCTTTTGCGGAATGATTTAGAATGATAAATACATTCATGTAAAGGTTTGGAATTTTATTATTGCATAGCTGTATCAATTTAAAAAGCTTCTCTACTTATGTTTACTTATGTGTACTTATCACGTATTAATGTACTTAATAGAAATATAATTACTTAGTTAGTTTCTAGTTGTTTCTAAACATGTAATGCCTATATTTGTTATCAAAAAAAATAATCTGATAAAAAATATTAGCGTTACCATTTTTGTTGTTTGTTTGTTTTGTTTTTGAGGGGTGGAGGCAGGGGGTGTCGGTTTGGTATTAAGTTATATTGACATTTTAAGTTGAATTACGTTTTTATAACTTAATTAATGGAGAACAAATTAAGGTGTCCCAGTCAGAGTTTATCAATTCAAGCACGAACGAGCACATGAGTTGAGCCTATAGTTATCCCCAGGCTAGATGAATAGGTTCCTAACTTAAAGTTATGAATTAAAAAATTGTTGCTATGGAAAAAAAATTGGTTGTTGGTTAGAGATGGTGCTCTAATCTATTGTGATGTCTCACTTAGGCTAGAATTGTTATTGTTGTTGTAAATAGGTGTGTGTTATATAGCGGGTCGCTATGCAAAGGTTACACTATCATCATAATACTATATAACATAGGCATCAAATAAGGTTTACAAGGATTTGAGATGAAAAAAATAAATATAATTGATACTATATGTTGAGATACGCGGTGCAATTATGAATGTTCATAAACACTCTCGCACTAATTACTATAGGTTGATGCACAAACAAAATCACGTGACCATTTGTACCAAACAGCATGATATCATCTGTCATTTATTCACGTAATTATTTGCTTCTGATTTCATTTCCTCATTTAACAATTTTGACATTTTGTCATCATCTAGAGTCAAAGCAGTACGTTATGATACTTTGAAAATAGTTTCATAATAATCATATAAAGTCCTTATTGATCTTAAATAATACTTTGAAGACAAAAACGAAAACACAGAAAAATGAATAACACTCATCTCAATTCTTTTTTTTATTGAGGAACTGTAAATGCATGCCTCCTTAATTATTCAAAGTTAATCAGTATTTGAGTTTACGTGTGTTTGTGTGTTTGTGTGGTCTGCTTAAAACGAGGGCAAAGAAATCATCATGGAGTTTTTCTGTTTGTTTAAATCTCTGTACAACTATAATCTCAAATTAATTGTGTTTCTTTTTTAAGAAAGTTGATTTCTTATTCCATTGATTTTAGGGATTAAGAAAAATAATCAAACGTCTCTAGATGGCATATAGAATTTCTAAAGCAATGACCTAATTACGACACAAATGCGCTGTGCTAGAAATATACAATATTATGATTTCATTGCATAGAATGAACATTTAATGGTTTTGATCAAGTGGAATATCGTGTATATATCGGTGAGAGAAACAAGGTGAGCATCCTGACTGAAAATAAATCAAGTGCAGCCTACATCACAGAACGCAATAATAT